AGAAAAAGAACTCCCAGACACACAGTTTGAAGATTTAGGGACCTCGGATCTATAGGAGCCAAAATGATAGACTAGAGCTGGGGTCCTGCTTACAAGCAGTGTTAGACTTGGCCCCACTATTTTACTTCCATAGGCCCCCTTTTTTTTCAGCTGTATGGTGGGGGCAACATAGTAATTAATTCATCGCAATTTCTCATCATGTGAGATTTACGAACTATAGCCTGTAAAGTGTTTTAAACAGTGCCTGGTACTTAGCAAGTACTCAGTAATGGTTGCGGTTGATATTAGCAGTAGCAGCAACAGCATATAAACCGCACAGTTCAACAGAAGGTTGAAAGCAGAGAAACGTCTGTAGGCTTTCAACTAAATCAAAACCTTGAGGTCACTTCCATGATACTGTTCTGTTACTTTCTTTCCTTCTGAACTGCACTCCTCCACACTCACACAAACAGCACTTTCCCTATCAAAAACCCATCCTTCAAAGTCCTGTTAGGTTTATGCTCCTGCACGAAACTTTTCTTAAGCCCTTAGCTGGAAACTCTTCTGGTTGTTGGTTGTATACTGCCTTGCGGGAAGGACACGTCACCACCCTCCTGTAACTTAGTTCCTTGCCAATTAGTCCATCTTTAAGTGTGCTCCTTCTGGGAGGTCCAGCTGCTATCAGTGTTTTATCCAGGACAACCAGATGCCTTGTGTAGCATTTTACCACTTGAGGATGCTACTCAGCTAAATGGAACTAAAAAAATAAATTACATCTCTCACTGATATCTGAGCATGCTGCTTGTTCTCTATGATTGAGCTAAGCTGCTAAATCTAAACCATCACTGCGATAACCAGCTCTTTTACTCCCAAAGCTGATGAAGGGAAAAGCCAGCAATTTCTCATGTGTGGTATATGTCCACCCTCTCACCTGGTGTTTTATAAATGTATTGTCTTAACTGTCTTTTAAGTATCTGTGCCTGGGAGGGTGCCTTCTTCTGTTTTGTAAAGTGCCAAGTGATTGCCCTGTGATATATAAATAATGATAATTAGAAGACAGCCTCAAATTACTTGACATCCAGATTGAAGGGAAAAGTGGTACTTTTTTTTAAAATAATACCCTAGAATTTGGATCACAAATGGCATTCTAGAAAAAGGCATATTGGTTCCTGTCAGACATAGTTCAGACCTTCCTATATCTAAGGTCAGACACCACAAAATAGGGCCACGGGCCAAAACATGTAGGGCATCAGATCTGAATCCAGGTCATAAAGATTCTTGACCCATTGCCGTGATACACTTCAAAGTGACAGAATTAAGCTAGGAGCTGAAGAAGAGGGAAATAATTTTTTACCTGAAACTCTATAAAAGGATTTAATAATCATTAAATTGGCATCACTTCCCAACTTCTGACCTCTTTATTTTTAAAAACTCTATAAAAGGATTTAATAATCATTAAATTGGCATCACTTCCCAACTTCTGACCTCTTAAAAATAAATGCTCAAATACCAGTGTTTCCAGAGTTTGACTCATCCTGACCTGACTTAATATTGACTCTTAAATTTTCAAGAAATTCTTCATCATGGTTCTTGGTGGTGAATGTGAGATTATTTGTTTGCTTGATGGAAGGAACATAGGTCCAAGAATCAAAAAGAAGGGCTCAATTTCCAGCCTTGCCACTTTTAATAGCTATGTGGCCTTGGGCAACTAACCTTCAAATTTGTTTCCTCCTCTGTAAAATAGGAGTAATTACATCACAGAGAACACCCTAAATATTCTTACAGTTATGTGAGGGATCTTCAAAAAATTCATTGAAAGATTCGTATTATCTTTTAATTCCATTTTTCCGTGAGCTTTTTGAAGTACCCTTATACTAGTTTATTTCCTGGAATACTTACCATGTGCTAGTTATTGTCCTAAATGACTAATGTATCCCTGCAATAATTGTATTAATTAGGTGCTATTATTATCTTCTTTTAATGGACAAGGAAACCAAGGCCCAGAAAGGTTAAGTAACTTGCCTAGAGTCACACAGCAAGTAAGTGATCTGCAAAAGAGTTTATTATTAAGAGTTTCCTCAGATCCAGAATGTATCAAAGGTGAGTTACTAGGAGGGACACCAGGGCTGCTTGTGTTGAGGAGGTAGTCCAGCAGCCCTCCACTGAGTGCAAGCAGGCATGGGGTAGGAAGCAGGCTGTGGTGTCCTTCATTCGGCCTGGCTCAAAGCCTTCCTGTGTCCTTGGTCTCCCTGTCCCCTTTCACCCCAGCCCTGCCCTCATGTATCCCTGATTTGTATTTTCCTTCCATCTATTTCAAATCCATTTTTTTCTATTTCTACTGCCACCACTCTCATCCAAAGTCATCTCACTTTAGATATAAACTTTGGTTATAATAATATTTATACTTACATACCCATTATCATTCTCTAATTCATTTCCTGTTCATGTTGCAATAACTCTTGGTCTCACGGTCTGGCAATTCCTAAACTAATTCATTCTCCAGTGTGCCGCAGTCTGTGTTTGTAGTGGAACCTCTCTGTTCAAAAACCTCGGCAACTCCTCACTGTCTACTGAAGCAAAGGCCACACTCCTTAGCTATGATGCTTTGGGATGTAAGTGATAGTCAGCTTAAACAAGTGTAAGTAAGAAGGCGAACATGGAGGATGAACCCTTGCTTCAGGCAGGGCTGAACCCAGGAGCTCGGGCCATGTCTTTGGGGTTCAGTTTTTCTGATATCCTCCTCCATTTGATGGACATGAGAGCCCCCAGCAGCTCAAGACTTTCACCTTACCAGATGAGCTCCCCAACATCTCTGACTTGCGTTACCTGCCTGTCCCAAGTCACTCTGGCCAGGGAATGAGCCTGTTTCAACAGGTAAAAACCACAGATGTCCACACTGCTTTCCATTCAAAACCCTCCCAATCTGGCTCCAGTTTTCCTCTCCAGTGTGCCCCCCGGTCCCCCAGCCCTCCCACATTCGTGCATTTGCCATCCCCAGACATGCCTGCCCTGTGCTTTACCAACCCTGCCTTTGGTTACACTGGCCTCTCCCCTGATGTTCTTCCCTGCCATCTCTCTGTTTACCAAAATTACACCAATTTTTCAAGGCCCCGCTAAAATATTATTTTCTACAAAGCTTTTCCTTATCCTGCACTGGAAAAAGGTCATTCCTTCCTTTTTGTCTAGACTTTGTGCCAGGTGTCTATCCATGGACGTCTTTCACTGTTATTGATCACTGTCTTCATCAGTGCTCTAACTCCATCCCTTCCATAGGTCTTACCTTATGCAAAGCACTTTCACACATTATTTTATCTGCTCTTATGCAGAAGCCTGTAAAATAAGCAGAGGAGGAACTTTAATCTCATTTCTACAGCTCGTATTTCTTGAACACCTACTATGCACCAGGATTAGGCTAGGTGCTGAAGCTAGAAACATTAATATGATAACCTCCAGAAGCTTTATTATGCCAATTGTACAAATGAGGAAATTGAGACCTAGTAAGTGGTCAGCTGTCCCTCTGTCTTTTTTAGTTCCTAAAACAAGCCAAGCTCTTCCCACCTCTGGGCCTGTGCAGATGCTCTTCCCTCCACCTGGAACATTCTTTCCACTCCCACCTGACCAAACCCTGCTCACCTTTCAGAGTTTAATTAAAGTGTCATCTTTTTTAGGGAGGCTTCCACTGGCCATCCCTTCCCCACCAAATTAAAACAGGCTTGCTATTATAGTACTCCTTCTCTTTTCTTCACAGCACTTACCAGAATCGTAATTATTTTACTTTTATAGATATATTTGTTTAATGTCTCCCCACCTGACTGTATACTCCATGAGGACAGGGATAAGGATGTTTATGTTAACTCCTGTGTACCCAGTGCCTGGCTCCGTGCCTGTTCCAGAAGAGGGACTCAAGAAGTAATGTGTTGAATGAATAAGTGAACGCATGCAAACATCAGCCATCCACACAGCTTAGGGAATGCCAGAGCAAAGGCTAGAACTGATTGTCTGAAGCCTCGGTCAGCACAACTCTTACCATGTTCTCCTGCACTGTGCCTGTGACCAGCCTCCCCTTACTAGGTTACCTGATCACAGAGACTAAGAACTTTAGTCCTTGTTCTTTTTGTCGGTTCCTAAGATATTAGCACTGTTTGGTATGTGGGTACTTAGGATATGAAGGGTGCATAATGTGTTTGAATGGGTGGACAGAAGGAATCAGAAGCAGACAGACTAATGAGCAGAATGTCAGGATAATCCAGGAAAGGCCGGAAGATGACCAATGCATGGAGGCAAGGGAGGACAGCACTGCTGTCTTATGTGCCACCTGCAGTGCAGTAGGCCCTGCGTTAGGATGAAATGGCAGCATGTACATCAGCCTGTATACACAAGGGTACTTCAGAAAGCTCATGGAAAGATTTGTGTTATGTTTTAATTTCATTTTCCACGAACTTTTTGAAGTACCACCCTTATTAAGATCTAAAATTAATACCCTATTCTGGAATTCTTGGAATAAGCTTTCTATTTTGGTAGGTCTTGAAGAATTTTCTTTTTTATGTTCCTATCATATTATATTGGAACACCTCCATTATACATGAAAGCAACTTTTTATTTCTTCTTATTCCAGAGCAGGCAGCCTGTTACTATAGCAATATTGAAAGTATTTTGAGGTATTTTTATACCATGAGTTCTACAAACTTCCTGCAGACTGTACGTAGTGTTTGGTAGAAATGGGCTATACTATTCAAAATCATTTCTCTTATTTTTTTATATCCTTTGTTAAACTTTTGCAAACCTTGCTGTAATTTAATTCCTGAAATTTAAACCTCTCTTTTCAGGAAAGAAAATAATTGTGGGGGATTGTAAATAAACTTGCCCATCAAGCACTGAAAATAGCTTTGAAATAACTTGAATTTTGTTTTGGGTGCCACAATGATATGATCACTTCTTGGGATGTTTTAGGTTGTTTTTTGGGGGTGTTTTGTTTTTCAGAAAATGAGGTGCAATTATAGGTTCTCTCTGTGTGTCTGCAGGGTCTGGACAGCTTTAAGGTGAAACAGAAATTCTTCTCTGGCAGCCAGGAGCCAATGGCCTCTTTTCCCGTGCCATACGATCTGCCTCCGGAACTTTATGGAAGTAAAGGTGGGACACAGATGGAGGAAAGCCATGGGTGGATGTGCCATAGTGGACACAAACAGAGCCCAGGGAAGGCCACTGGTCTCTCAGTAGGAGCCTGGCTCGTGGAACCCTCTGGAAGCTCAGGATTGCAAAGACCACTTTGCTGCCCTGTCTGGGGGCCACTGGAGCTGCAGCTCCCAAACTGGTCTTAGAACCCCTTTGCACTACTATAATTACCAAGAAACACAAAGAGCTTTTATTTATGTGGGATTTTATATCCATTGATATTTACTGTATTAGAAATTAAAACTAAGAAATGTTGTAGTATTTATTGATTATAGTTTTAACATAACAATAATAAACCCATTATAACATGTATTTTATGACTATTTCCAAAAAAATGAGATTAGCGAAGTAGCATTATCTTATGTATTTGCATTGTGTAGCTTAAAAGATGACAGCTGGATATCAGAGCTGCTCCCTCATTCAGTCTGCTTTGATATCACATCACATAGTAGCCCCTGTATGCTTGCATGAAAATGAAAGTGAAAACAAACAATGATGACTTTAGTATTATAATGAAAGTAATTTTGGCTTCACATACCATGCCCCCAAAAGGGAAAACCCCAGGCTGTGCTTTGAAAACTGCTGCAACAGACTATGACTATGACTTTCTTAAGGGCAGTGTCCAAGTATTTTTCACAATAGAAAGTCAGTAGGAGTATGTGCAGCAGGTTCAGATGTCCTCAGAGGAAAGCTGGCTGGCTTAGTGCATCCCTCCATCCGCCCTGGCTGTGACCCAGCCTCACAGGCTGCTGAGCCGCTGTTATTAGCCCTAAAAATATCTGTATTTGAGGTGAGTCCACACTTACCAGACTCTCAGAGAATGAGATGTATAATCAGGACACAATAATTTAAAATGGCAAATGCTCACATCACCATAACCAGCATATCCTTCCCTGGAAGGTAGGGGCCTACATGGGTAGCCAGTTTATAATCTGTAGGTTTGTGAGTAAGTGCTAAATCTGAGCAGAGAAAATTCATTTTTTAATTGAAAAGTTCTAATGACATCACTCCATTAATATTCCAAAATCTCCAATTCCTTAACAGGGTCACCTTGCCCAGTAGGTCCATCTCTTCCTTAGACAATGCTAGATGGGCTCTAGCAGCTTCCCCACCCTCTCTCACCCTTTTCAGCTTTTGCGGTGAACTAAAACTCTCCCTTCTAGTAGACCCATTTTTTTTAGATTGTATTGACACATTTGACAAAGTCAATCTCATGTCATGCTGTTTCGGGTGCCATCCTGCCTCTTGCAGGTGACTTTGTATTTCTCTAATCAATTGCATTGATACTAAGTCTCAGAAGGCATTCTTCTTCCCCTTCTTTCCAAAGCATGTACAGTCTGTTGAGTCCTCTAAGTTTGTTGTATGTTCATGCATATTCCTTTTTCACTAGCAAGGTTATATAGGTTTTATCAGAATTTCAACCTGTGAGCACCCCACCCAACACCAAAGAAAAGAAAGCCCTGCTTTAATTCAAAATAAATAAATAAAAGGAAAACTCTGCCTTAAAGCCAGGCTGTGTGTGCAGGCCGTGTGCATGTGCCCACTTTACAACTTACTACGTGGCCCTGGGCAGTTGATTATTTTTTCTAGGCCTTAGCATCTGTATGTGCAAAATGAGGAAAATATGAGTGCCTACCTTATAGGGTTGTTGAAAAGATTAACTGAGATGATACCTATAAACTAATACCGGGGTCTAGCTCAGAGTTAGAAGTCAGTAAACTTTAGCCTTTTTTATTATCACAATTGTTTTTATTAAAATGCCCGGTTCAGTTCCTGGCACATAATAGACAATGAATTACTGTGGATTTTCTCTCCTTTTCCATAATGAGTTGATTTTAAAACGTTAAGTCTTGTGCAGGGCAGTCCCTAGACCTGCCCACTGTGGCAAGACTGGTGACCATATGACACTCTCCTCTTCTACCTTCAGTCTTTGTGCTACACTTGTGTCTTTTCTCCCTTTCTCCCTTTCTCTGTTCTTTGGGTTCCCTCCCTCCCTCCCTTCCTGTCTTTCTTTTCTTTTCTTTCTTTCACCTTGGTTATAAACATGAGAGGTGGGTGACCATGATTGCCCTAGACTTTACCTCGTAGCGTCTGGCCTTGGACCTTGCACTCCCCACCCCAGAACCCTGGCTGGATTCCACCTCTCCCTTTAGTCCTAATCTCAAAAAGACTATGAAAGCAAGAATGGAAGAACCTTAAAAATGTCCTAAGGTCCCTTCCCTTCCAGAAGAAAGAGCATTCCCAAGAGTTTAAAAGCTTACAACTGGGTAGTATCTTAGACCATGGAAAGATCAATCTTTTATCCAGCCAGCAAGCAGAATGCTTTTTAATGTTTAGCTGAGCTTTTTGTTTGTTTGTTTGGCATTTCCTTTGAAAGATGCATACAAGAGAGAATGGAGCTTTTTATTTTATGTCGGTACTATGTTATCTTCTGCACTACTTCAGTAGCATGTGGAATAATGCGAGTAATTCAGATGTCACCACTTTATATAGTCAGTATTCAGGGTGACCATGTGGACTATAGAGAGGCATTTTACGAAGATTTAGAAGAGTGAGTGGTTAACGTTTCAGAGGTACTTCATTTTAAAAAGTGATTTTCAAACCATTGTAACACATAAGATCTTATTCAATACTTTCTGAAATCAGAAGATCATGCAAAAAACTTAGCAAAGGAGCATACTGCTGTGAACACAGTTACAGCTCAACACGAGAAATAACCACCAGGTATCTTGAAACCAAGAAAATTATCAAATAAAGTAAAGAAAAGACTAAGACTCAGCTACAGGTATACCTTACTTTATGAAGTAGTTGCTGTTTATTTGTTCTCTCCACAGATAGATATTGAGAACCTACTGTATGCAGACACTAAGTGCTCATAATACATCGATGAATGAGACAGACACAAATCCTTGCCATCATCGAGCTTAGGTTGTGCTCTTCTCCTGAAAGTTGTACTTAACCAAACCCATGATGTTAATAGAAGTGATATTTTTAAAAGAAGTCTTTTATAAACAAAATCAAAAACTTCTAAAATCTAACACAAATTATTTCCATACATCCCACTTGCTGTGTGGCCCTGACCCTGAAGAGAAAGTGAAGTAGATCAGTGTGTAATGTCTCCTGAGCGCTCTTCCGTGGGCATCTGCTTTACACTACCCTTTTAGCTCATCTTCTTTTTATTATCTAATGTACTGTTGAGAAAGTAAGCCAAGGTAAGGTTAAAGTAAAGCCTATCTTATTCGGACTTGATAAAGTTGTGTGTCACACTTAAGAAGTAACTAAATATACAAAGCTTCGAAGACATTAGTTACATTCTATTAAGTAGGTTTTATTTTCATTATTTTTTAGATACACACAGTGTACATATATAGTATTCTTTCAAATTTTTGACATAATTGCAGATTTACAGAAAAGTTGCAAGATTACAAAGAATTCTGATACCCAAGAATTCCTTCACCCAAGTTCCCCAAATGTCAGTGTTTTTTTATTTGATCCTCTCTCATGTTGACTTTTTTCTGATCCATTTGAAAGCTGCAAACATGATGTCCCTTTATTCCCTAAATACCTCAGTGTATATTTCCTAAAAATAAAAGCATTCTCTTACATAACCACAGTACAGTTATCAAGATCAGTGGTTAACATTGATTCAATACTATTGTCTACCAAATATATTCAAATTGCATCAGTTCCCCCAATAATGCCCTTTGTAGTAAAAGAGAAATTGCAGATTACATGTTGCATTCAGTTATCATGTCTCCGTAGTTTCCATTAATATGGAACAGAGCCATAATTTTTTCCTTGTGTTTTATGACATTGACACTTTGCAGAGCATAGGCCATTATTTATTTTGTAAACAGTGAAGAGCATTCTACATTGAGTTTATCCACTGTTTTTTCATAATTAGATCCAGGTTTTGCATGTCTGCCAAGAATGTTTTATGACATTGACACTTTGCAGAGCATAGGCCATTATTTATTTTGTAAACAGTGAAGAACATTCTACATTGAGTTTATCCACTGTTTTTTCATAATTAGATCCAGGTTTTGCATGTCTGCCAAGAGTACCACAGAGCTAAAGTTGTGTTCTTCTTGGTGCATCATATCAGGAGGCACATGATATTGATCTGCCTGATTACTGGTGATGCTGACTTTGATCAGTTGGTTAAGTTGAGAATCTTTTGCAGGTATGATATATTATAAAATTTTAAAAATTAAGTATCTGGAACTAGGCTAATCAGCTGCAAATGCAATTGCTTAGTAAAATTAGTCCTTAAAACCTGTGTGGCATGAGATATGCATGCTATAGATTTAGCACATATAGAGTGTAATAATCCTCTAAAATGCTTGAAAACCATTGGTTCCTAAATGGTCTGACTATTCACCCACTGTCTGATTCATTTAAAATAGTTCCTTACATTTAAACCGTAGCAGAATATTTACTTCAGTCTAAACTTGTCTAAACTTACATACCACTGGGCTATAAGCCATTTGAGGCTTCCATACCTGGCTTATACCCCACTGTGTCCATAGAACCTAGCAAAAGTCTCTCGAATCTAACCAGCACTCAACAAATATTTCAAATACACGCATGAATGTATTAGATGGCAAGTTGTTCTCTCATGGGACAATGTAGGAAAATTGCTTAAAACAGATTTTCCTCTGAGCCAGTGAGTATTAATGCTGATTTCCAGTAGTAATGGGTAAAAAGTCACAGGATCACAACCACCCTCTTCTCCTGCTTGTGGCCATTTTTTCTAGCTTTCGCTCCAGGTGGAGTGGACCTTTCAGCCAGTGTGGGAAACGATCAGCCCACAGGTGTAGACATTCTGCTCATTTATAAAACAAAGCAGCAGGGGGTCTACCAATAGGGTGGTTACAAAGTCCTTGTTTGGTCATTCTTGCCTAATTTAGAAGGAGAGGACTAAATGCAGTACTGATCTTGAAGTTACCAGCTCATTGGTAAATGTTTGCATCATAAATCCTGTATTGCTGAAGAGTATCTCTAATAGCTACTCCTGCAAGAGTACTTTAAAAAGTTCGTGGAAAAATAAAATTACAAATAATATGAATCTTTCCATGAACTTTTTGAAGTACCCTCACACAGCAAGAATCCAGGTGTCCTCTGCTTTGGGAATGTCGCAGAGCCAATGTTACCCAACAGAGCAACCTACAGGAAAAAAAGTGGGTAAGTAACAGAGGAGCTTATAAGATGGTGCTTCCAGTGGGGGAGATCAAGGGCATCGGTAAGGCCAACAAGTGCTAGTGGGAGACAGTCTATCAGCCCTGTCAGTCCCTCAGCCTTTTATGAAACGTAAGAAAAAAAAAACAACCCAGATTTAGGCTCGCTAACAAGCTGTTGAACAAAAAAGTGTTTGATTTCATGCTTTCAAACTATCCCAAGGCCAAAGACCAGCAAGCAGTGTTCTGATAGTTTGTTGCCATCTTTAGTATTCTTTCCTGCACATCCTGCTGAGTGGTGCTATTCGCAAGATTGCTCTGAGATTATTCAGCACAGTGAGGCTGTGAAGAGAGTAGCAGATACCACTGTTTGCTAGGTCGCCCTCTGTGCCACCATCTGCCTCTGGCAGGAGAAGGGGAAAGGCTCCCCCACAGGCGAGTATGCAGTTCTGAGACACTGCTTTAACCTGGCAGTCCATCTTAGACCCACCGAGCAACGGTTTACAATAAGTTCTCCAGCCCTTCAAAGTATCCAGATAATAGCAGGCGAGTATGCAGTTCTGAGACACTGCTTTAACCTGGCAGTCCATCTTAGACCCACCGAGTAACGGTTTACAATAAGTTCTCCAGCCCTTCAAAGTATCCAGATAATAGCACGGGGACTTATTTTTAATCCTTGTGATATAGTTACACTCTACCCCTATTATTATGGTTCTTTTGAAATGGTTTGACTCTAGCAGTAATGATGTGTGATAAGTGATTTGTTGAAATTTTTTAAACTTCTGAAATGTCAATTAAAAAGAAGTAAAAGTTCACCTCTACTGAGCACATGTAACATGCCAGGAACTTTCACACATGTTCTCTCATTTATGCTTCACGGGAATCCCTGGTGATTGCAGTTGCAATTAATTTCCATTTCACAGAGGAAGAACCTAAGGCCAAAACCCAGATGCCTTCCCTAGGCTGCTGGGAGGGAAAGGTGGGATCTGAACATAGGTCCTCAAGTGTTCTTTCTGTTGTACCATGCCAGGCGTGTTGCTTTCTTCGACATTGGTTTGCAGTCACTTATACGGAGACTTTGGTATCTCATCAATTATTTAACCACAGAACAAAAACATTTTAGGATGTGATCTGGGCCTCTTGGTTATGTTGCTGAGAGCAGAAACACAGCCCTTGACGATATCAACTATTAATGTTACTTTCTTAAGCTTCCAGGAAGAAGGGAATAGCTGCTCCTCAGTAGGCCTTTTCTATGTGCCAGGCACTATATCTTGCATGCTTTATGGATTTATCTCACTTAGTGCTCATGACCACTCCACAACACAGGTAGTGATGAGGAAACCGGGACTCCGATTGGTGAAGGAACTTGCCAGGTAGCACCTAGAGTAAGTGGCAGCACCAGGATTCAGCCTGGGTTCCTGCTTGCTACTCTCCCATCCACTCACCCCTGTGTCCTAACATGAACCTTTACTAAAAGTCCTTGCCTGGAGGGGGATATCACCTGGGGTTGGTTCAGAAAATATTCTTCACAGTTTGGAGAATCGACATTGTGTAATGATGAATATAGTAGTTATCCTGATTTGAGCATCACATGTTGCAACACAGGAATTGATATTCAACTCTGTACCCCACAATCAATTACATCTCAATTTTAAAAACTTAAAAACAGTTTGGAGAATCAAGCACACAAGTGCTTTTATCCCATCAGGTAAGTGAATTTTCTGTGATCCTATTGAAATAAATATTATATAATGTGTTCTTTCCCCCAGATCGGCCATGGATTTGGAACATTCCTTATATCAAAGCACCAGATACGCATGGGAACATGTGGGTGCCGTCCTGAGAAGCTAAAGCACTGAAAGAAGGGTGAGATGTTGAGCCCCAAACACTGAATTCTGTGTTTGTACTGGATGTTCACTTCCCTTAAAGTCTACTTGCACCCCTACAAAACTTTCTGCAAATGTCACTCTTATGAAAATGGATGTTGGTTGTACTTTTAATGGTCATTACTAACATTCTCACTAAAAAAAAAAAAGTGTTATTTTTTAAATTCACTTTTATGTGCTTTGGGAAGAAAACTATGAAACTTCACAGTGTTGAAATATATAGATATAAAATTACCCTCTTGGCGATGTAGAGTCTCACAGTGGTGTCAGCCATTCTGAACTGAAGTATGACTGTGCGTTGTGCTTCTACTCTATCTCTTGGAGGGTACCCTCCCTTCAACCAGAACTTTTCAGAGCAAGAATGCAATCACTTGCTTTTTCACTCATGCTCTCTGAGCTTTCTGAGTGTGTCTCAGGAGAGTTACTGGATGTGAGTCTGCAGTGTTCCTGGGATTTGTTGCTGAGGCTCCTTCAGCCCCCTGCAGAATCTGGTCACCCTTCAGACAGGATGAGTCCTGTTGACACTTGTCACTCTGCAGCTTTCCAAAGCTTTCAGCCTTACAAGGTTTTTCATCCCTCTCCAGCACCATGTTGATGCTGTGTTGGTTACAGACAGGGGACAGGTCTCACTGGACCCAGCCACCTGCCATTTCCTCACCTGTCCCCCAGTGTAGATCAGTGTCTCTCCCATCCCCAGGAATTTCTGGACAAGACAGTTCATAGAATCATACAAAAGTACACAGGTATTTTACTTGAAAGAAACCCTAAAAGGTGACTTAATTTGGTGCTTTCAATTCACAAGTAAGGAAACAGGCCCAGAAAGGTTCAGGATGCCCCCAGGTCACACAGCTGGCAGGGTCAGAGCTGTGTCTGTCTGCTCCATGTGCGGTAGGCTCTCCCACGGTGATTGGGACACTGTTTTCTGCTGTGTGAGGCTGGTTTCCAGTGTGTCACCAGCCTCTTCATCTTACCATTTAGGAGACAGTTTAAAATAGTCTTTCACACTCTTCCTCAGAGACCTGGGATTTTCCGGAAGTACCTTGGGAACCTGGAGGGGAGGGGTGGGGGTGCTGTGGTAGAGGAGGAGGAGGCCGGGAAGACAAGGTAGCAGGGTCCCCCCCACCTTCTAGCAGAGAAGCTCTGCTTAACCCATTTTATATATTGGGATTCCTTAAAGGATGTTGTGGGGGTGGGAGGGGGGGGTGATGTTCTGCTTTAAAAAAAAAAAGTTGAAAAGCCACTGAGTGAGTTTAACCAATTAATTTCACAGGTAGGAAACCAAGGTTTAAGTCTTTTCTGACCCCACCTTGTGCATGCCAAAACATTCAAGCCCTACATCAGATGAGCTGACTGTCTTGGAAGGGCTGGTAGGAGGAGCCAGCATAGCAGTGGGGCTGGCCCAGAGCAGGTGTCCAAAGGACTATGGCAAAGAACCTGTGATTCTCACCAGCATGGTAGTCCCATCCTGGTTGGGGAGGGGACCGAGCAGTGCCAGGCGAGCCTTAGTCAGCAGAGCATCCTCGGGACAGCTGCAGCAGTGGGCCTGCTCTGGGACAGGACCCAGCCAACCAAGACAATGGCGGCGGGTCCACAGCTCATGCAGTCTTGGCCATGTGGGGTCACGTGGGTGCACTGCTCATCTGATCTACCTACCAGCACAAGGAGGCAAAGTGGCAAGTGGGTCAACACTCAGAGCTGGAATCAGGGGGTCGGGATTTGAATCCAGCTCTGCCACTCACTAGCTGTGTAGCCTTGACCAGGGTGGTGTTAATAAAACCCAATGCAGAGGGTTAATGTAAGTGGCTGGTGAGTTAGTACATATGAAGTGTATACAGCTGTGCATGTACAGGATGAAGACAGTACACATGATTGCTACTGCCACTGTTAATTCATTAGGATTATTTACCCTCATTTTCCTGATAAGGAAACAGGCTCAGAAAGCTAAAGTGCTTGTCTAAGGTTACAGTTCTAGAAAGTGCTCTTACCAGTATCTGGTACCAGGTCAGGGAGCATCCAGTGCCTCTTCTCTCAACTGCTGGGCTGAACTGCCAGGCTGCCTAAGCTCCCAGGCAGTGTAGTAGACTGCATCTGGGGAGATGGACCATTTTTTCCCCTCAATCCATTGTAGACAGCTACTTTTTTAGAATACATAGGTGCTTGGATGTTACAGCACTGTCAATTTGCTATGAAAGTTTCTCGGTGCTTGCTCTTACACTCTGTACTCAGCACAGACCAGCCCTGACCCACTCTCCGCACTTGGAGTAGTGCTCCTCTAGAACCACTGGGGACCCGGAGGGCCCCTCTGGAAACAAAGACAGAAGTTCTTATAGAATGCACTGGATAGATAACATGGAGTATGTTAGGGGAAGACCATGTCAGGGAGTTTGCACTCAGTAGCTGTCCAGGCCTAACACCTGACATCAGTACTGTGGCCCTTGCCATGGTGAGCATGGGCTCAGCCAGAGTAGGTAGGGTCACTACTGCGTGCTGTCTTGCACAGTTGATAGCACACATGGGAAATGAAGTAATGTCCCAGGAATAATCAAGAACATGTGGGACCACTGAAAACAAGCAGTTCTACTCATCTGGTCCTTTTTATAATGGGATTAAAATATGCCTGCTAATGTTTTTGAGGAAACTATTTCCATTATTCTCAGGTTGGGGTTTAACAGTTATTTCTCCCTACCTGCAGAAGCCCTCACCTCCCTTCTGTCTGGATGAAACTGCATTCCCCCTTTTATCTTTTTTTCCCCCCATCTTCTCCCACCTTTCAGATTTCATGGAAACACTGTCCAGTAGCTTCATATCTGCCGAGGACAAACACCCACATAAAAGAATCCAATCTCATGCTTCTTTGTAAACTGCCAGTATAGGAGACTCTTTGAGTAGGGAGTTTTTCTACATGTGGGCAAAAGGAACCAGTGCCTTGCCTCTTTTTTTAATAAAAAGTTGTATCGTGTTCTTTTTCAGTCTTACCTAGCATCCTCTTATGGAGATGGACCTGTAGACTAAAGATTTTCTACAGACTAAAATCTGTAGACTACAGATTTTCACACCAGACGATGAATTTCCATGGAACATGCTCAATGCTTGAGCATTGAAGTGACCTAAAACATGTTGAGGCAGAGAATTGCCAACCCTGACACGTGTGACTTAAGGGAATTCACCTGCCAGGAGGACTCCGTGTCCCCTCCACTTCTCAGGAGCCCTCATGAGAAGGGAGAGATGTTCTGCCACCAGCTTCTTGGGCTGAGGGAGGGAGATAGGATTTTTAAATTATTTTTTAGCAACATACTCTTGGGAAAAGCTGCCCACTTTTAACCATAGTGTGATATAAACCCACCTGAAAGTACGCTGATTTGGGAGGCTGTTTTTTCCATGTAATAGTAACAGCCGTTTCTTGAGTTCTTCCTGTATTTCACCTCCTGTGCTACGTGCTTTACACCTAGTCCTCACATCACCCTTTTGAAGAACAGACCATTATTAGCCCCATTTTGCAGATGAGGATGCTAAGGTTCAAGGGAGTTAAATAACAGTGGGTCCCACAGTAAGCAGCGGAACTGAGACATGGTTCTGCTGCCTCGAAAGTGCGTGCTTTCCACCACACATGGGTTGAGCTTTATCTTCCTGGATTCTTCGTTAGAAGCTATACAGTTACCCTTAATAGAAATTATTAGTAACACGTGAGTACTAATATTAAAGTGAATTTTCAAATGAATATGGTTTATATATCAGACTCAGTATGCTTAAAGTAATTATTGCATCTTGGATCTGGTTTTTGTTTATCTTTTTTCCCAAGTGAAATTAAAAGTTGATGTTGTAGGGAAACAATGTCTAATATTACTTGATCCATTGTGAAATCATTTTGGGATGATCTAGGTGTTTTTATTCATTCAAATCTTGGGACATTTGACTTTCTCTTTCATTACTAAATAATCAGAGCCTTTACCCCTTTAAGAATTCAAGGAAGAGAATTCCTTGAAAATGTTTGCTTTTGACTAATGAATACCTCAAAGGTTGAGATAGGTGTTTTTTATTTACATTTATAGAACTTAGTAATTGTATTGATGGATTAATGATATTGTACATGACAGAGTATGACAGAAGTCTGCAGAGGAACTTAGTGACTGACAGGAATAAAATAGATTAACTATTGGTAGGATTAAATCTAAAATTCTGTTGATTATATGCATAGGTCAGATCTCATTATGATAAAATCTTTGACAAGTTTTCTAAGTTTATTAGATCATTTATTTCAAGCAATATCCAGGACAAAAAAATACTACAAATCACAATTATTGCATTTCTATCATCTAGAAAGTTATATCTTAGGTGGCCATTGATTATATGATAGGATTCACACAAAGAAAAGATGAGACAGAGATCAGCTTAGGAGTTCTACACAGCCATTTGCTTCTGGGAAATGCCAGCAATGACATGCCCCAGCATTGAGGCATGTGGTCAGCTCTGAGCCTAGTCTGTGCCCACTGGACCCTGAGCATTAGCACCACCCAATAAGTACTGAGTACTTTGTGCCAGGAACTCTTCTATGTGTTTTGTGTTTATCAGCTAATCTTCATAATAACCCTGTCAAGGAAGTACTATTATCCCCATGTATAAATTGAGAAACTAGGAAGACTGTCTAAAATCACATAGCTGGCAAGTGTGGAGCTGGGATTTGAACTCAGGCCATTTACCTCCAGAGTCATGCTGTATTGCT